ATCTAGAGACCTATTCTAGATCTAGAATCTAATCTAGAATTCTTACTATAGATCTAGATCTAGATGTAGAATCTAGATCATTAGTAGATCTCTAGATCTAGATCTCTTCTAGAGATATCTAGACTTCTAGATTCTAGATCTATCCGTGTGAGCCATCATGTCATAATGAACTTCATGATAATCAGGCAATGTAATAAAATCCGAAGATGGGTGTGAATGACCATATCTCTCATCATCAGCTTTCAGAATTTAATTTTGTAAAAAAGGGCTCCGTTAGTAAAATTATAAGCAGAAGTCCTGAGAAGTTACTTGGACTTGAGTTACCAGTACAGCCTCTGCCTCTGCTGTTTCTTCGAACAATACAATTACAATACACAAAGTCCAGAGCTAACCACCGGTGTCGGAAGATCAGGTTTTTGACAGTCTTCCGGGGGCGCGACTGTCAAAGTTCACCGACAAATTAAAAACATTAAAATTTAGACAAAGTGAACTTGGGGACAGGTCAAAGGCGAAAGGACAACAAAATACGCGAGCTGTAAACTCTGCGACGTCATTGTCAAAAACAGCTCTGAGTCCCAAGCCACCTTATATAAAATAAACAAATAAGTAAGCCTCAAAACTTCGATTTTCATTTTTTTCACATTCTTTGAAAATCCATACAATTAATGCACAACAAAGTTACCTTTGAAAATTGCAAAAATCCTGATAGCAGGGATTTTGCTGCACTGTGACCGTGGAGCCTGACGGGCGCCGCCATGTTTTGCATTTCTCATTAAAAAATATACCATTGACCCTAACGAAACAAAATTAGGAACTGGCACAAACAAAACGAAAAAAGTGGAAATGGCGAATACAAGTCATAATTCGGTTTTTACACGAATGTAACCGTATTATGTCGCTCTGCATTGGCCAAGATTGCATCAAACATCGGAACTTGATCCCTAAAGTCCTCAACAAAAGTTTTAAAATCATTATAAACCTATTGATATCAACACAAAACACTGGGTTATACTACGCACCTTGGATTATGATTACAAATTTCATGGACATTGAGAAGCAACATTTTGTGTTGCCAATGAACTGACACATTGAAACTGCATAAATGAACGCTGACTCCGAGCAAAAAGTGCCATTTGAAGGAATGCAGAAAACATTGCAAAAAAATGTTTGAAAGAAAAAACAAACAGATAAAGGTGGACCACATAAGGCCTAATAGAGTGTAGTCATTATTTACTTTTATTTTCCAATCATTATGAAGAGGTAGGCCCTGTATTTAATTAAGAAGCCTGCACAGAGCTAATAATAAATATCTAGTACATGATGCATGCATAGGATGTGGCACTTGACTCGAAATTCATATAGGCGCGTTGAACATCTCGTCGTCACTTGTAAAATAGAAGGCAAACGAGGCAGGGCAAGACCCAGAGATACATATTTTTGGAAAATACGAACAGATGGGTGAGAGGGGGATCACACTAGCAGGATAAAAATAATATTATAGGATTTTGAGAGGATACGAGCGGAGAAGTGAATGGAGAACCATGATATCGCCGACGTCATTTTCAGATCTGGCACTTTGTGGTGACGAAGAACAAGACCGCAGAAGAGACTGTCTTACGAACCTGTAGCGTGCCGTTAGTTCAAATCGATGGTGTAATGCATTGATTGATCGCTGTCCCTTTATTTCTTGGAAACTTGATTAGTTGAATTGAATCTTTACACATATCCTAAATCGGACATATCCTACACACCAGTGATTGATTTTATATGTGGATCAGCGTCACGTTTTATGTTCTGCTGTAAATGCAGTGCAGACCTGAACACGCACCACATTCCGTAGGCTACCCAATAGGAAACGCGACAAAGATCAACAAAGCAGCTCCAGTCACCTAGCTAGTGGGTTGCGTCGGTGCCGCATGATTCCACTTTTTCTATTATATTTACGGTTACGCACTGGTGGTCAGGCAGTCTATGTTGTTGAGTGTTGAGGAGGAAAAGGGAGGAGAAGTTGAGAGAGAGAGAGAGAGAGAGAGAGAGAGAGAGAGAGAGAGAGAGAGAGAGAGA